AAAGCATGCAACCTCAGAAAACCTAAGTAACATTGTGGAGAGGTTGTTCTCTTTACACAGACATAAGTTAAACTAGATTTGTCTGGGCAATATAATTTCAGAACCGCCTGCAAAACTTACCACCTTGTGGCTGTTTCTCCAACTGGTGACTGCTGTTGCCATGTTTTGTGTTTGTGGATTTTGCTCCTAGGAAGACACTTGCCGATTTGTTTTTGTGTGTGTAAAATGTCAGTACTTCCTCCAGGTCACTTTCACTGCAATAAGGAGAGAAGAATGGATGTAGAGTGAGGACGTTAAGCTTTTCTACATTCATGTAACAGTCAAAGACAAACGAGAAGGAAACTGAAAAGTAGAGTGGGGAAAAAAAAAAGTGACACTAGACAAGCTAATGATTTGCTCAGTTCTGCAGGGTAAGAGCAAATGGAAGGCAAGATGCCCTGGTTAAATCTGAGATTTCCACTAAAATACCATCTTCTCATGCAGTAGAAAATACAAGGCATTTAGGAGCCTTCCCACGATAAATAAAGAGCAAGTGGATACTTCAAACACATCTGGGGAGATTAGCTCAATATGAGATATCCCATTCACAGCTAAATTTGTGAATCTTCTGCAGGTGCTCTTTAGAATGAGCAGCTATTTTCTCATAAGAGATCTCAGCTCAGCCTCTATTTTATTGTCACCATTAGTTTCTGTTCAACAGCAGGGGGAGAAGAGGAAAGAAGGCAAAAGCTTGTTAATTAACCAAAACTGCAGGACAACCAGAACTGTCCATATTTTCTGTGAAACTTGCAAAACTTGCATATGTTTCTCATTTTCCTTTCAAGAACAAAGTGGGGACAGCCCCAATATCTTAAACACCTATTGGTCCCACACCTGTATCAGTTACTTGGCCATTCTTATTAGAGCTTGTGCAAGCTGTAGTTCTGGTTGTTTGGTATCTAACATGTTTTCCTTTTGCTTTATAGTGTTGCCTCAGCATCAGTGAGTGGCTGTATGGCATGGCAAACACCAAAGCAAGTAGTATAGTGCTGGCAACACTACAAGAAAATGTAACACAGGAATATAAATTAGCAGAGCAGCAGTTAGAATCTTTCAAAATATCCTCTGAATATCACAATTGTAACTAGTATTAGCTAGTCTAAACTTTGGTAAAAGCCACGTCTAAAGCTGATACACTGAAGTTTGCAGCATAGCCTGAAGATCCAAACTTCACTTCTTTTCCCAGAAGAGAAGAGGAAATACAAGAATGAGAATCTGTGTAGAAAGATGCTTTAAGCTTTTAAAACAATTTACCAGTATGTATGTGCTTTTACAGTGCACTGAAGATGTTTAATATCAATGGTCATATCATATATACACCTAGGCACAATGACATCCATGCGATATCAAAGTTAGTCAATGAGACCATCTCAATTAAGAAGCAACCTTTATTACCCATTTTCTCTACTGTTGCATTCACTGTACTGCAGAATGAACACTCAGAGTGGAAACCTATCCCTTTTGCTTGGCTCCAAATTACTTGCTCACTGATTTAAGCTTGAAGCACGGTGCCAAGTAGTGTCAGATATCAGAGTTTTCAAACACACCTCATACTTCCAAAAGAAGCAGAAAGATCATGGATAGAAATTGTCTGATCTTCAGCAAACTATTCTATATCACTCAGACAATCCAGCAAAAATCTCCAGCCCCAGCCTAGACTGTGCATTAGGCCATGATGACATGGTAGCCAATTAACATGGAAACAGAAGAATTTGTAGCACAGCTAGAATTTCCATGCAGCTATCTCTTAACATTTCTGGCAAAAAGGAAAATTACCTGCCTAGGACACAACAGACATTTCAGTGGCCAGAATGTTCAGAGAACCAGAAGCATACCATAAGCCCACATAACATGCATTTCTAGCAAGAGCAGTAGATCCTAAGGTATATGGTAGTCAGGCATCTTTTGTCTGAAGATTTTTCTGCGATTCTGTAAATCTGTTGCAGTAATGACTCCATCAATTATATTAGCAAAAGGTAAAATACTTGTTTTCACAAGAATGTATCAAAACAGAATGTGAAACCACTTGAACTTACTTAGGATGGCTCAGCTACCACCCTTCTTCTAAACATTCACTATTAGTGCTATACAAACAGAAAATGAAAGAATACTTTAATAAGTAATCATGCAAAAGAAGAAGTGATCATCAATCTTCACAGAAAAAAAGAAGATAGGCATTGAAAAGGCAGGTAAACTCTCTCCAGATATTGACAGGGGTTCTTGCCTATATAGGCATGTCATATATTGACCAAATAATGGAGTTAAGAGGAATTGCTTTTTGTCCTTGACAATCAGATTTTGAAAACATAATTGTGGTTCACTAAATAATTTCAGACCTCTCCATAGTCAGATAGTTATAATATCATTGTTTTTCATACAATGCTACAGGCCCTAAGGAATAGTTAACTATTTTCAAAATATCTTTCTTACCAGACTAAGTTTAAAGCAGATAAAAGTGCAGTGACAGAAAATGCTGGTTTTCCATTTTGAAAGTAACTGCTTGCACTGAACTGCCTTAGCAGGCCAAATCAGAGGCCTAACTCCCTTCCTTGCTCATTTCAGAAAATCCAGACCTGGAAAATTCCTGAAGAGAGGCAGCAAGCATGAGATTTGTTTCCGAGAGCAGAAATTTGAGTCAGAGCTGTAACAACTGTTCAACCACAGCAGCTCAAGATCATCTGAGCAGCACTTCTAGTTTTCATTCTCCTTCCGAAGTACTGTCTTATTTGGTCCAGCAGCACAGGAGAGGAAATCATTAACTCACCAGCAGCAGTTTGAAATCTACACAGGACAGGGCAACCACTGCTGTCCTTTGGGAAGTTACTTAATGGTCAAAACATCTATTGTATGGTCTTCTCTATGCACCAAATGCTGACGTTACAAGTGTTTGGTTGCTGGAAGACAGACATGAGAAGACAAGCTCCCTGTCCCTCAGCAGGAACAGGTCCTACAGTCAATAAAGCTATGTAGAGGCTTTAGATCAATCAAATCATCTTTAGAACAATGCTTTGAGGCTGAGAGATCATTTATCAAGGGGAATAAAATCTATTCCTACCTTGCTCTGGCAATGAAGTTCTGAAAATCTTTAGGATCTACTCCCTCCTCCTCTTCCTGTTTCTTTTTTGGTTGTTTCTGAACCATCAGTTCTGTTTCCTGTTAAGAAGTAGTATCAGTAAGTGTCTCTATTCCATGGCATAGCTACAGCTCCCAGAATACAAAAACCAATTCCATAGGATCTAAGACAAAAAGAACATTGCTTTATGCAACACCATGAATAAATATGGAGACCCCCAGGGACAGCAACCTGGGCATACACTGAAGTCCATTCCTCCACCTGACACAATTAATTAGCTGAGAAAAGGTCAAGTCTTCATAAATGTGTGCTATTCCTTCAACTACACCCTTTGCTAGAACATCAGGAAGTATGGAAGGGAAAAAAAAAATAAAGTCATTCTTTATAGATGCGAGGTCCCCTCCCCACTTTCTTCTGTCAAGCAGCAAATTGCTGAGGGCTTATACACATAACAAAACCCCATTGATTTAGCAAAGACTAAGAAAGTAAAGCAGTACAGCATATGGCAAATATGCTTATACACTGAAATATACTGGAATAAATGGTAAACCTTTGTGGGTGAAAATGGGAGCAAGTTTTCAGATACAAAGGGTCCATTTTATACCAGCAGAACTGGTTGGCACTACACATTGGATTGATATAAATATATCTGTTAATTAGAAAAACCTTCAGACCTGTCTAAAATACCAGTACCAGCTTAAAAACTTTATCTGACTAGACTTGACCTCCACTTCATTTCTTCCTGCTGTTACCCTGAGCATTCCCAGGAAAAAAGGGTCAGATATATCTTTTGAAACATAATTCAAGGCAGGGAAGAAAAAGCCAGTTTGGGACATCTTTACCCTTTACTACTTAAGTAAATGTCTGGATAATATGTGATCTGTTTTACTTAGTGGAGCTGTAGTCCTCTGTGTCATTATAGATGATATACAATGGCAAGTAGGAGTCTCTATTAAATCTGAAGTTACAAGTCAATGAAAGAAGTCTGTACATTGGAATCAGAAATCAAAAAATCTCACACCCTTGACAGTTTCTGAAGGGCTTAAACACATACACCCTGAAACCTAAAGTGATATGTTCTCACTTGTTTTAACTGAGAAAACATGTTTATGCACTGATTTATTACCAGTTACACATCTTACATTTGTGAATTTACTCAAGAGTTTGCAGAACATCCTAATGTTTGAGTACAATTTGAGAGGGAATTATATCCAAAGCAGCTGCATTCTTCACTCACCACAGAGCCACCCAAGTGTTTTGTGGTTCCTCCTAACAGAGTACTTCAGCGAGCATTAGGCATACAAGGCACTCCCTGGAACAGATCTGGTTCAATACCAACCTTGATTAGACAGTTCAAGTTACCAAATGTCAGTTCTGACAAGGCAACAGAAGTGAACATCCTCTCGTAACAAGTAGAAGCTTGGAGGCCTCTGTGCAGCAGCCTCTGAAAGCTGAATTTCAATTACCCCTGTTCTAACACTGAAGAAATGCTAAGGGGCAAAGCAAAGGGGAAGCTGTCCTTGCAGGACGAAGATTAGGTTGCAACCACTACGCTAAGAACAACACCACCTACATTTAAAGATGTGATAATTATTTAAATTGGGACCCACAACTCCTTTACACTGAGCAAGCAGAGTACATTACTATAGAAATGTAGCTTTCCCTCAGTATGCCAAGTAAATAGTAAAATACTTGTTTCATGCTGTTCTGTATAAAAAAAAATATATTTAAAGAAGCCCCAGAAAAAAAGATGTGGGAAGAGGCATTACAAAGCTTAAGAATCAAAGACAAGGCAAAGAAAAAACACACTGCCAGTTAAATTCCACTTCTTTCTATGCACATAATTACTGGCTTGCACATATTATGTAATAATATTGTTGTCTATCTGACAATTTCAACGAAGTGCCATTGTTGGATGCACAGCTGCAAGCGGATCACCTAAGTAACAGAAGAGTGCCTTTGAAACAGCCCGCACGAAACACTTTGTAAGAAGAAAACAGAAACCAAAAACATAATTTACAAAAGAATAAGTCACCTTGTCATAGCAGATGATGAACTCGCCCAGCTGGCGAGCCAGGATGCGACGCCGGTCAGTCAGTCCTACATGACGGCTGGGGAGCAGCAGCCTCAGAGATGGACGGAGGTTGCTGGCAGCTCGCTTCAGAAAGCGGATGATGAGGTCCTGCAAGCAAGAGAGATGGAGTTAACAACGTGCTATCTGCAAGGTGTGGGGAGAAGAGAATAGAGGTACTACAGCAGCTAAGGACTGGCAGGAACTAAACACATTGTCCTGAGAAAATGAGCTCAAACTGGCAGGCAAAAGCATTCTGCAGTATGCGCTTTTAATACAGCCCTATAAATCCAATGTGGGGGAGAAAAAAAATGGTGTATCTTACCTGAAGTGTGTCAGAATTTTGAACACTTAGGAAGTGTTTGTCTCAAAAGAATGGCATATAAAGGAAAAACAACCAGCCAGTAAAATGCAGTGACACACCTATGAAGTCCAGTATCTTAGGAGAATGTTTCCAAAAACCCACCAGCAATGTGTTAAAGGCGGCCTGTGGAAAAGTGCACTGACATAAAACTCTCTCAGCAGTACCACAGGAAAGGGAATCTTGGTCAGATATCTCCACTACAGTGGGTAATGCCATTTCATTATTTTTCATCTATATACTATTGCCACATCCTCTCCACAGCAACAGATGTCTACATCTACAGCCATGTAATTCCAGTCCCTCACCATATCTGTTTGACCTCTGGTAGGGGGAAACATATGGCAAGTCAGATCCTAAGGCAAGATGCATCCTGTGGGTGTTCTGAACCCTTTCTGTCTTGCTTCTGGATTTATTTTTGCTTAGGAGCTCTGCTAATGCATAAATGACCAGCCTCACAGCCAAACTATTGGATTTCACAGCTCGCCTCTCACTGCCATTACTCCAGGCTGGTTTGATCTGTTATTTTAAACATTATTCTTTACAGTACAGCAGACAAAGTGACTCAAAAAGCCCATTTTAATTTCCACTTGGAAAGAGCAGAGGTAACATTTTCCACTGAATTGAATGATTATTCTTGACACACAGTTTTATCTCTGAACTACATTGGCTGTTTCCCTGCAACACGCACTGAGTGAGAATAAATGCAGAAAGCTCAAGAGCCTACTGTACAAAGCTCTTTTAGGAAGGTTTGTGAAAGGATATGGGATTGCTGCGCATTTTAAAATGCGTACATATCAGACACAGGACTTCAAAATACTGCCTAGAAAAGTCCATCACTTTTACTTTCTGTTCTCAGTGGCCTTTGCTTTAATTTACTCTATCTAGAATGCAAGCAAGATTAATAAACACAGATGTCTGCACATATTACAACAATATGTAAGAGAAAAAGCTTAACTGGGTACCTGTTCTATCTGAGTAGATGAATGCTTTGCTTAATACAGCACAAATCAGATCCTGACTAAGGACTCAAAGAATCTTCTAGAGAAGAATTCAAGAGCAGGTAAGCTCAGAAATCAGTGAAGGGAAAACCAACATGAGATCTGAACAGCCTGAATGTCAACAGAGTCCAGTCATTAAAAGCCGTCAATCATTGCTCTGAGGCCAGTTAGCAGTCCTACTTCATCGGTATATTAAAAATAGAGCACTGGCAACTAGACAAAGATGAACAACCATCATCTCAGTTGGACTTCTGTACTTCCAAGGATGGGAACTACCTTCAAAACTCTCAAGGCAGATTCCAACTTGGCTTCTCAGTCTGGCCAACACAAAGGTTCTTACCATTTGCTCATCCTCCTTGGCAGCCCAGGCAGGATTCTGGATCTGTTCACCAGCCTCCTTCACCAGTCGGAGCTGAACATGCCATAGATAGGCAGAGAAAGCTGTACGAGCTTGTACTTTGCTGTGGACAAAAAGAATCAGTTATCTTCAGAATAGGAATGGGAAGAGTTAGGCACAGTCAGGCACAGTTTATGAACCAAAACTACAGGCAGCAAAGACCTTCTAAGTGCACTAATGCTGAAGCTCAAAGAAAGGAGGACCCCTTCACTCCAGCAGCGTTTTCAAACAGACTTTCAGTTCACCAAGATAGGGTGGTAGGTATTGCAGGAGGTACAAAAGACAGACACTATTCTAAGATAAATTCTAAAAATTGAATGTTCTTCCTGCCTTTTACACCCTTGGTTACTCTCCTCTAAAAGCCAGTAACATGGACATCAGCAAAACTATTTTTAAAACAAATTCAAGGCTCTACTGGGCCTCTGTTTTCACAAACATTTTGAACACCACAACAACAGACCATAAAATAAACAAAGGGCTTGGTACTGGTGCCAGAGTTGTAACAAAGGCCCTGTAATTCCCTTTGGAAATGAAAGAATTAAATCTGAAAGTGAGCTCTTCCCCTGCTAGTTCAGGGATACAAGCCAAATTTCATTGAGCAAGGCACCACTGAGGAATGAAGGAACATCAGCAAAATCTGCTGTGCAGCTGGCTGAACATGTTGGGAAGCTGTAAGCATGAACTGAGGAGAGGACTGGGAGGGACACATAGCTTCTCATTCCCTCACAATAGTAGCCACTTTAGCATATGCATCTGTTGTGAGGGAAACTGCTGAAAGCTCTGCCTAATTCTGCTCATTGTCCTCTTGGTCTAAACCTTATCCTCAAACATTCTGCTCTCCCAGCCTCTGCTCTTCCTCATAGTTTTGCCCACAGATGTTAGAAGCTTTTCATAAGGATATAGCAGCAGATTGGCTTTAGCGTCAGCAACAGATTTCCCTTTCTATCACAGGAAGTGTCTTAATACGTTCTGTAGAATTTTAAGTTTCATCTTAGACAAGCTAGAGTTTTGAACCCATTACTTTTTTGAAATATTATTCCAGAACTTACTGTTCTAATAAATAGGAACTGCCTCTTACTACCCAGCCCAGCATCACTTATGAGCATCTTATAATTGTTTTTTCTTTCTCTAACATTGTCCTGTATCTTACACATAATCTGATTTGTCTCCCACCTTGAATGTCTTTGTTAACAGAGTTACATCCTTTCATAGTTTTCATTTTAGTAGTGGGAACTATCCACATCTAACAGTGTCTTCTAACAAAGCAGCCACAATGGTGACATGATGAGACCAGCAGCTCACCTCCACCTGTGTTCCACTCACAATTTGCCTTCCATGAATATGGGTGATACAATATTCCACATGAAGTCTCAGAAGTATGTCAAGTGATAAACCCTGGAACACATTTGGTGTTTTCATGCATGCATGAGCTAGGACTTCACAAATTTCCTCTGATCAACCAGCATGCAAGATATTTTTCCTTATAATTAATTTCCAGTTCATGAACACCCAGCTGACAGAACTTCTGGTGTAAATTATTAGTTCTTATAAGCATCCCATTGCACTTCGCACTACTGAATTTCATCCTAGTTATATTATTTATATTTCAAGGTCATCCAGTTTCTCTTATGTACTCCACTACACTTTTTTCTCATGGTAATAACTCCCAAGTATTTTCCATCAGCAAATTTCATTAGCACATTTGTACATTTTTTAGGTGTCATTCTTGAATTGATTATATAAATCAGCCTCAGACTAATTCCTGAGGAACCTCACCATATTTTTGTACTTGCATTATGCTTCTTATGAATATTCTCAGGTACTTATATATTATCCTTATGACTCCAGGCACATGAGTCCCTGAAATATTATTAAAAACTCTGCGCAGCAAATAAGTCTTTCTGGTTTACAGGTTTGAAAATTTCAGGAACATTATGTTAGTGTTACACAGAAATTATACCATAGCAACACTTACAGAGACCAATGCATCCATTTAGGTAAGAATTGAAGTTAAAATAAAATACATTGGAAGTATCCATGTATCAGCTTAATCATCAACTTCTGACGCTTCTGGAAGGTCACAGAGGGGCAAAGAGGGCCTAAGCCAATAACAACTGCACAAGAGTCTCAAGCCAACATCCTCTGTTAATAGCTATACTGCAGCAACTAAAACATGATGAAAATACCTGGTACAATTTCTGTCTTCCAGGAACTTCAGTGAACTCCAGAATGCACAGCAGGCCTTGTAACACTTCTGAGCTCTGTATGCTACTAGTCACTATATCTACCTTTTCTTTCTACACATGTGGAACACTGGGAGGGCTCTGAATCCATGCTGAGAACTGATACTCCATACATCATGCCACCACATATGAGAAAAGGCTCTCACCTCAGCTTTCTAGACCTGTCTGGTTTGGTGTAGGTACAACTCAAACATTTCATGACCAGTTCAAGATTTGTGCTAGATAAGGAGTCCCATTGTCAACATCAGCACAATAATACAGTTCTTGACCTGCACCTGATACTTCTGTGACTAAAAACTAAAGAAGGTTTTTGTTTAACACTGCCTCTCCTTTGGTGTGGGGGATATTGAAACTTGAGAGCTTAAATGCAGGAAAAAGTAGCTTCCTTTTCATTTTACTTCCTTGGGAATGGCACAGCTGGGGGAACAAGTTTCTTCGGACTATCATTTCTTTACCAGTAACACCCAGTGTGTGAAAGACAGATACTTCCTCATCAGGCTGACTAAAGGAGAGAAAAGTCCTACCACTTACAAAAACTGACTACAATGGGCCTGGTTTCTCTTGGATGAAAATTTTATTACTTCAGCTCCTCTGCATGTTTAGCCCATAAGAAAAGCTTACATCAAAGACATCAGATAAGGCCAAGCCCAGCACAATCTCAGAACAAGAGGTCACCACAAGCCTTATACCATTCTGTGGGGAATCCCAACAGTGCTGGGTGCTGAGTAAGATTCTGCCAGGAACATCAGAGAGAGCTTATGTTCTTGGCAGGAGTTATTTCTATATATACGTATATGTAGACAAAGAATTGCTATGTTTATCCTCAAAAGAGGTTTCAGAATCTTCCCTGTCACAGCAGCAAATGTCCTTGCTACAATTAGACATCAGAACAATCCCCAAAGCCATTGAATAATCCATAGTTTCTCCCAGAAACTAAACTAAGAAAGAAACAACAATAAACATATTCTCTACCTTTAGACATTTTTCACAGAAAACATAGTGCTGCTTCTTGCCTAGATGTAAAGTCTTTGTACGCAGACATATATGATCATTTTTGGTTTTGTACTTTCTGTCCATCTGCAATTAGACAGTTTTGCTACCCACATTCAAGGGGAAGATCATATTTCAAAACATCTGGTTAAGACCTTGCTTGCTGTTTTTCTATAGAATCTTCTCCAGCACATCTTTTTTTTCCAAGAGCCATGCATCAGAACATACTCTATTCCACACTGTCCTACTCAATAACATGCAATAAGATTTCACACTCTCAAATTACTTCCTAATCTTGCTCTCAGAAGGCAATGACCTTGAGCAAAGATTACTACCAGAGGCAAAAATTCTATCATCAAAAATAAGAGTGCAGAATGAGCAAACTAATTTTATTGGAGAGACAGCACTGAGATATTCCTATCCAACCCTTCCTGGATAATTTAATATGTTTATAACCATTCCTTGGTAAATGCAAAGAATGAGAAGAAAAAATTTAGAATTCATTAGCAGGTATCCCACATTAAGGCAAAGAGGCATTTTAGAAGCCTGAACTAACAAAGAACAGCTTACATCATCAGATTAAAAGACTGCAATGGAAACTATAGGGTCATGCTTTACACTGATCCAACAGGTCAGGCATTCAGGTAAACTGTAAGACTTCGCAATGGTCTCCCTTTTCTGCCAACAAGATGTCAAGGCAGCCCACAGTTAGACAAAAATCCAGGCCCCTTTTCTAGGATCTTTTTATCCCTTCACATTCATAACGTGTATCCTCCATATTTTAGCTTGTATTAGCTTAAAGCCAAAACTAGAGGCAATATACAGAAAACTCTCACCTCAAGTTTCCTTGATTTTGAAGAATCTGAAGCAAGTTAAACTGAGGTTTTGAGTCTGGTTTTTGCAGAAACAGCTTCTCTCCATCTCCAGTTTTCTTTTTGTTATAGTTTTTTGGTAACCTCTCCTTACAAGTAGTTTTCACTGGGTCAGAGAGCTTTGGCTTGTTTTTCACCTTGGTATCCGAAAGAGAGCAAACATTTCTATCTACCCCTTCACCTCCATCCATCGCCTCTTCCTCCTCACCTTCCGTGTCTGACTTGAGGGAAAACTTTGTTGGTTCTGATGCGCCTGTAGTAGAGAAATCACTTATACTGGTTACGAAAGAAAGAAAGTAAAGAGGGCTATTCTACTACTTATACACTTTGGTTTACCCCTAAACTCTTTGCTGTTAGAAGGACAGAACAATGCCATTTCAGAACAACATCTTAAGTATGACTACTCTATATTATTTTGTCTTTCTGCTTGTGCATTAAACAGTTGAGAAGCCCATTTTCCCAATATTACAGAATACAGAAGAATACCAAGACTCTTGTTTTAAACTTACAAATGAAAAAAGAAAGCCCATATAAAATCAAAGAGGCAAAGACATTTTCCTATATTTTTATCCTGATTCTTACATACATACTGACATATCTACACCCATACCTGATATATATACACAAATTTTTGTATGTTGTGTGTCAAATAAAACAAAGCCACAAAATCTAAACTTCCACATGTGCCAATAAAGATAATATACCATAACATAACATAACAGCAAAAGTCATCTTATAATATCCAATCTTTCCTATAGCAGTCAGTATCGCATAGCTATTAGAAAGAGTTTAGCTAAAAGCAGGAACAGTCACTTATGGGGATCATTCACTTCTGTACCCCTGTTAGTTTTTCCAACACCAACTTGGATAATCATTCCTCTTCCCAACAAGCTTAAGTGTCACAGCTGTCTAGGAGAACCAATCTGAAAGGTCCCATCTTTCTCTGAAAAGCTGAAGAATTACAAAGGCACACATACTGTCAAATTCTTCACCCAAAATGCAACAAGCTCATCTCCAAGTAAGCGCTGATTACCTTTAATCATATACATGGGGGTGTAAAAAGGTGGGACTGAAATTCAAGGCACTAAACAAACAAGAAGTTCAGAATTAGAATGAAGTGAAAACTATTAGCATTTGAAACTGAACAACCCCATTCGCACACATTTCAAATTCAAAAGTCCTTTGCTTGCTGTCTTTTCACCAGCTGCTCATTTAAAACTCTAACCATGCATACCTGATGCTCTTGTCTGTGCTGCTCCAAGCTTGCCACGACACCGACGCCGCTTCCGTAACTCCAGCGAAATGAGCTTCCTCTCATACAGAAGAGCATGAGAACCCACAGCTTCCATCCTCGCATCCAGCCTTCCATGGAGACCGACTCTGGGAAGCACAGTACAGAGACATCCCTCACTCTCCCTTTGTCTTTCTCTCCCTAATAATACAGGGGACATAGTAGATCAAGCTTCTTCAAGAAACATTCTTGCTGATACACAGAAGAAATATTTACCATCAGTCTAATTCTACTCTACTTAAGCCTGTAAATGTTTGAAGAGAGTCTTGCATGTACTTCACAGAACATCACCTCTCAAAGCCTCAAGACACACTCACCTAGTGTCATGCTTTCATGACTGAGCAGCATCTGCTCATCATGCAACAGCTCAGGGCACAATTAACAGAGGAAACTGCAAGAGTACAAAACAATGAAGGGGAATGCAAAGAGAGCACATTGACATGAATCCAGCTGTCTGAACCGTTTATGTAGATAGCTTGTTCCTCACTGATCAGATATCAATTTTAACATCATAAAAGTGGAAAATGCCGAAAGTTCTACCTAAGTCAAGGGACAAGGACCCCTGTCAGATTCCAGAAGGGAAACGTACAAAAGTAACAATTTTCTGCCAGAGCACAAAGATCCAGGAAAGTGCTCCCTATGACGTACGTGGAATAAGCACAGAAAATGCTTATTGTTTCATTTCTCTTTTTAGCTCTAACAAAGTAAATATAAGAGTACATGAAGTCCAAAACCCTTGTGAATCACAAAATCTTTTGAGAAAGCTCAATGGTGAGGCTTATCAATATGGCAGAAATACCAAAGTGAGAAGCGTATGAGGAGAAATTTTAATGTCCAATGAAAACATGAGCTCTCCACATGTGGGTATATTCTTTTCTCGCTATATTTATGTTTCTAAAATTATTTAAACGGATTTCAGGTAGAAAAGGTGTTGACTCGCAACTTGGAAGATGAAGCCTAAGAAATCTAAATTTAGAATAAATCCTTCAGAGCACAAATTATTTAATTAGAAGCTATTTACCGGGATCTCCCAGTGATGAATTCTCTTTTTATCTTGCTCCTACAAAGAGAAAAAGGTCAAAAATTACTCTCCATACTGGATCAGCCTTGATTAAAAAGCCTCCCTAGTCTTTCACATGTACAATTGAAAGACAATATTTACAGAATTACTTGTGAGCTCTATCTTAAGGGCTCCAAAAGAGGACCCCTGAGCAGCTGTACTACATTGATGCTTGCATTTGTCTGGCTTAAGCTGGAGAAGGCCTCATTTAGAACTACTCTTCAGACACATCCCTGAATGTACACAGAAAAAAATTTGTACAGCACTGATGCAGGAAGAGTGTCTGTAAATATTGTCTCCTTTCTCAGTCACCTTGTCTTTACTTGGTAGTTACTTCAAAGTCAATCTCAAATTTGCACAAAAATTGTTGAGAAGGAAGGGCATTAAACATGCAGTGAAAGACACTGCAGACAACTCTCAGTGGAAGCTCAGCTAGTGGAATGAACTGTCCCAAACACCCAACCACAAAACAGAATCATCAAATCATGATTGCACAGGTCAAGACATAGGGATACTAAAATGCTGAAGAAGTCAATTTCAGGGCTTACTGTACATGAAGACAAGCTTTAATGTGATTTGAAATTTGAAAAAGGTAAGCCAGGACCACCTATAATCCCTTCATAGAGAAACCCAAGAGCCTGAAGTTTTTTCATGTCGACAGCAATATTAATACTCCAATGATTCCCATGTCTTTTGAGTATTGTCCTTTTTGTCTTTGGTTTCAGAAGAGCAACACACAAATATACGGCCAACAGTCATTGGCACACTAGGGAAGAGATGCACAATTATCACCACTCCTATAAATCCCAGACTTGTGTTTATAACATTGGATAAGTGAGGAATAAATCCTTTTTGTACTGTTTGTGCCATTTACTTCTCTCCCAAACAAAGAAGCTTTCTACCTGTCCTTAAACAGATGTGTAGCCAGCATGTAGTTCATTGATGTCTTGTGCTCTAGAAAAGATCTAGGAAAAAAAAAAATAAACAGGATTATCAAGACAGAGCTCAACTCCATGAAAGGCAGCACAATGCAGAAATAAACAACCTCTAAAAAACATCCCAGAAGTGGATTCAGACAACATGCTGTACACCACAACAGAAAAGACAAAAGGAGGAGAGCTATCATTTCTCAGCTGAAGTTCCTGGTGATGCAAGAGACAGAGAAAACATTACAGACTGGAAAAATAAGCGTAGAAAACTGTAACATAGTATAGCTTTCAGAATGAGTGAGTCCTATATGGTGTTTGTGGCCTAATGACAAGGGTACACAATATGCAGCTTGAGGATCTAAAAGTAGATAGTAAAAATTGGAGAGGAAGACACTTTTAATCTAATAAAAAAGCAATACCAGAAATTATACCCAACAGCTTTCCATGCAAAGTGGTAGCTGATAAAAAAACAAGGGATCAGAAAAAAGAATATTCAACACTAAAATAAACTTTGCCAGAACTTTCAATATATCTTTTTAAATGCCACGATAGATGATCTACACATATCTAACAGAATATCCCTCAATAGGGAGCATCAGTGCTATCCTATCAGATTTTTATTCTTACCCATAAAGGTCCCATGTTAATGGGGTAGGGAATATACGGATGAAGCCACCTCTCCGTTCATTTTCCTCTCTCACTTGCCGAAGAACTTTGAGCTGATTAAAAGGAAAAACAGAATAGCCAGCAAAATAGATAACAATGAAAAATAAACCTTCCAAAAATCTCTGAATTTCAGAAAACAAGACTATTCAATTCTGCAAATGGACTGGGTAGATAATGTCATCCTTAAGGAATTTTGTCTTGCATTTAAATTCTGAAGGAGTCTATCATGCTTCAAGCACATCTCTGCTTGGCATGATTGAGGGCAATACCAGCAGTAAAATTCAAATTCTGTTTCAAAAATTATACTTCTTCTGTCACATATTTTCATTTACATGCACTTGCTATTTGCTGAGCAAATAACCCCACATATTGCATGAAAGCCAAGGTAAATAAAAGCTACTGAATAGCCTCCTTACCTCCTCCATGGAGAGGCCTAGCACAGAGCTGCTGTGCCTTCCTGTTGCCTTTTCCCTGCCTAATGGCATCGAGCTTTTAACTTCAGCATCACTGGCAGACAGAGAACGGGTATGCTGTAGAGACAGTGTGAGTCCAGATTTTTTTTTTCCCCCTCTCAGTTCTCATATTAAAAAATATTACATTCAAATTCCAGCATCCCATGCCCAGCAGGATCTACACTCCAGAGCACTACAGCCAGAATTCAATTCCACACCCCAGCTGTTGAAGAGTCCACAGCCCAGATGTCACTAAGTGCGAGTACTCAGATTCTTAGATTTTAGCACAGGAGGCACAATTCAGGCACCACTGCCAGTATTTACACCCCTGGCCCCTTCTGGAAAACCAACAGGCATACCAAAAGCAGCAAAGTCAGAATGTCATACAGGAAAATCCTCACCCAAGAGGCACTAGATTCAGCATTCACAGGACCCAAATACATTTGGATTCACACATCAATGGTATCAGAACCATGCTTCTCTGTTTTAACTGTGCTGCTACACTGGAACAACAGAACTGTAACTCCCTGGTGAGACAAATGTTGCAGGGAAAAGTTCACCACCTGTTATTCTTCTGTTACTATACTGCTGAATGTCAACTTGCTACTTCTCACACTTAACAGACGCATCCTGCAGATGTACACAGATATGTCATGCAAATTTGCATAAACATACTATTTTTTAAAAATATGCAATAATTTGCATGCAGTGTCACTAAGCTTATTTTTAACCTGATGGGCAGTCCTGGCCAATTCTAACAAAAGGACAGTAATTCAAAATGTCTTCAAATCATCAAGATTATAAAATTTTTAAATCCAAGCAAGACAGAAATCTTTGAACTTGTTCTCCAGTACATTTAAGATGGTCTTAGGCTCAGTTTAATAAACTACTCTGCAAAAACAGCACTAAAAGAGTCTGAGGTCTCAAGCATTTTTACTAAATTCCAAGGGTTTTTTAGCTCTATACTGAGCAAAAAAACGCACAGAGAGCCTTAATCTAGAAAGAAGAGAAAAACATAGCAGAAACCTTAAGGTGGATAAGTCCAGGGGAATATCCCATACTGCTCAGATACAAAAAAATTCCATGGCAAGATCAGGATGCATCTTTATTTGTAAAGACTATGGGAATTGAATTCCATTCTCTCCGTTTCATTAGAAATGGCAAGCAGCTATTCAGAATCTGTAGATGAAGCAACAGCAAAAGCAACAGGCATTGTACTAGAATAGGTTATACTGCAGTGATTGGCACAGAAAAATCCAAAGATAAAACAGACATAGCAGGTACCAGCTGTAACATTTTGTTAAGCCTAACTATAATAGATTCAAAAGAGAAGAGAAAACAAGACAATCTGGATGAGAAGGCAGGAGACACAAACATCTGCAGAAGAAATAAAAATGCCAGCAATAAAACAGGTTTGTTTGATGCTGTAGAGAGCACTACGGACTTTTAGTCCTCTTTTCTAGTATTTCTTCCATTTCTAATCCACAGCCTAAAAATGTTGCTTAACTTTCTCTAAAATCTGATAGGTAACCTTCTCTTAAAAACCATTTCCCATTTCCTGGCACTACCATAACAATCTATCATCATGTAAGAACTGCTGTTCCAAGAGAATATTACAGGAAATTCTTCAATCTATTAAATTATATACTTTACTAAGGAAACACTTCAATGAAGTAATTTCCATTGTCCCAGTACAACAGAGATTATTTCATTAAATACAAACAGTAAATGTATGTCAACACGTTGGCAGCTCTGACTCCTCCCTGAGAACAAAACTACATGGCTGTCAAAATTCTAGAAAAAGCTCTTTCTGGACTTCCTGCACAGTTTTTTCCATGTTTCACTATAGAATATCCTCTGGCTGTAACACAGAAACATCTCCAACTTCAAAGATCTTGTTTCCTCTTTGACCCAGCTTATCTATAAAACTGTAGATAAATCCAACCACTCTGGTATACCTCCAAATTCTGCAAGTATCCTTGCTTCCCAAATCATGATTCTAATTTAATAAGCACTGACAGCAGCTGGCACAAAGATCCTTTCTATTCTCTACAAAACCTTGTAATTCAGTAATACTCCTTCCTCTGAGCCTCAGCTAAACATACTCAGAATAACAAAGAGCAGTGAAGAGACTGAATTAGGTTCTCAAGATGATCTCATCTACCCTCTCTTCCTGACAGGTAACCCCATTAAAAAAAAAAAAGATAATAACTCCCACTACATTTGTGCAGGAAGCCAACAGCAAAATAATGCCTAACATGTCCCCACATGGCCAGGTGCTTAGAATTATGAGCTCATAATCAATTTCTTGCACGAAGGGTGACAAATATAACATTTAGAAAGGTAGATGGTCTCACTTAGGCTAACAGCAGTCCCATATTTTTCTATTAACTTTCAGAAATCATTTTCTCTGCATCTATTTTGACCCAGTTCACTCAAATTTTTGCAGTGTCCTTCAGAGAGCTGCCTCACAGAAAATGATTACTTCTCTTGTACGGCCACCTGAGTTTTGTCTGCATAGATTCTCCTGTGCTTACCTGATCATTCAGACCTGTAGTCTTAAAATCTTTGGGGTATTTGATCCAGCTGACCTTGACTCCTAGCAAGCTTCACCTACTTTTTTTTTTAAGCTGCCAGAGTTATGTAATATTTTTTCAACATTTGCTTTTCAAACCACATGGAAACATGCTAGTGCCATCTCCTCTTCTTATGATGACTTCCCTCTCACCCCCCCACCCTTGCCCCAGGCTATTCTAACTGTAAAATATATTTAGGGACTAATTAATGCCGAAAGCATTGTAACATTTGAAACTGTAGCCCTTACACAGGTGATGGGAGGTGAAGGGTACTTACTGATCTGCTGTTTGCTCTTTGCGATTGTACAGACACAGGACGCTGCAAGAGACACACAAAGAGAATAAAAATCTTGTTTTCTCAAAGACACTATGATCTCTGCCCAAGTTGTTGAGGATTGGCAAGTACCCTAAACAAAACAGTATAAGCAAAGGGTGGTAAGGCACTGGAACAAGTTGGTCAGAGATATTGTGGATGCCCCAACCCTGGAACTGTTCAAAGACAACTGGATGGGGCTTGGAACAACCTGATCTAGTGGAAGGCATCCCTGTCCATTGCAGTGGAGTTGGAATTTGATAATCTTTAAGGTACTTTCCAATCCAAACTATTCTATGATAACTGAAGTCCAGAGATAATGCTAACCACTTATATCTTCCTCATATCCTGCACAAATGTATCTTGTCCCCATTCCAAACAAAGCACTCATTCTACTCTCAGGTGTGCTCAACTGTGCAGAATGCATCTGGACATACGGTTTTCAAAAGCACACTGAACTCCCATAATTTTTCAAGTAATTTTATTTCAATATCTCAACAATATTCAGTTCTTGTGAAGGAAAAAAAATATACTATTTTAGCATTCTACAAAAGGTGTAGATACATCAGAAAGTCAAGAAGTACCCTTGACACTTACCTGGTATCAGGCCTACAAGTAAAACCAGTTTAAGGACAGGTATAGATTCAAAAGAAAACACTCATCAGAGCTTAGATTTTTCTTGTCTTCAGTGGTATTCAGGCTGTCTTCCTCTTCTCCAACACCCAAGAGAAGCAAATACTGTAAGAAAGGATTCTCTGGAGACCTATCTATCATTTCTAGCTGTACTACTGACAAGTTCCTCTCTACAGTTGGTCTACTCAAAACAGATTGAGGTCCCTCCATTGCTTATGATTAATTAAAAGAGCTCCAACCCAAATCAACAAGAAGTTACAAAGGAAGAAGCAAAATTGTTCATTTCTCTAGAGGGAGAAACACTCGAAGAGTCAAACCAAAGAAATTGCACAGGAAACTTGCAATCCAGTCTGGTGAAACTCTGAAAAGAGTATAACTATCTCAAGACAATTATTCAAGAGAACTCTCAAGAGCACTGGTACCAACAGTTCTTTTCCAAGCAGTAACTTCTGCAATGATTAAAAACAGCCTATGTGAATGATCAAAACTTAAGACATCAGGAAGAAGATAGGAAAAAACAAAAGAGATGACATATACCCTTTGCAACAGAGAATTGGAACAGGTATCAAAAATCTGAGATAAAATTTATTCAGCAAAGAACAAGCTAAAACATTCCGAGACCATGGAAAGATCTAAACACCTATTTAGCTATGGGATTTCCACTTAGGTACTTAAGAAAAAAGTGCTGTAAAACTTTATCACGACATTACAAACCTGTTCCTGTTAAACATAGGTTAGTTTGTTTCTTGTTTCTGAGCTATCTTATGGTGGTTGTTCTGTCATACAAATCTTTGCAACTTTCAACTGGCCAGCTTTACATCTCATTGTGGGCATGTATTAAGCAAAACAAATTTGAAAGCCTCCTTAAAATTCAATGCTTTACAACGGCATAATTTTCTGAGACTGTCTTGTAGAATTTTGTCAAATCATCAGAATCCGATCACATTACTCTAAGAAAGAAGGGCAATTTCTTTTGAATGGTTCCTAATTTATCTCATGTACCTTTTTTCTGCTACAAAGAGCACCTATACAGTCAGAGGGATATGTATTTAAAGCATTATTACATTTGTCTTAGAAGTTTCAGACTCAGACATGCATCCTAAAGATACTCAAATCTCATCTTACCAGCTATTTGCCTCTCTCACAGTGACTAAAGACTCTTGAGTTTTACAAGAAACAAAATACTGCAATTTCTGTGAGTTTTCACTATACAAAAATGAACAGTGTCTTGGTACACTGTCACTGAACAAAAATGACTTGTCATTTCCTAACTGAACTTGAGCTACACAGCCATGTTGCATGTCCATCACAGCTGCAGAGATGTCAGAGAACACCATCTGCCTATTTGCCTGAGAACTGAGTTGAAAGTCCAAGTGACATAACAGATCTCCCTGCCTTTTGTGAATGCTCCATTTCCACAGATATTTATGGAATCCATTTCACAGACAAAAAGAAATAGAGAACAACTGTCCTTCAACATTACAGTGCTGAGAAAGCACTACCTCAACAGAAAAGGCAAGGGGGAGTCACAGCAAGGCACATGAGACCTCAGTCCAGTGATCCATGGGAAAGAAGGTCAAATTCCAAAAGAGAATGGGAAAGAAGCCTTAAGCTTCAAATGCAAGAAGATGTTCACCTAGGAGAAGGTCTTGAAGACACTTATAAGCTCCAGGGTTCTGGAAGCTTGTTGTCTACAACAAAATCCAAGTGGTTGAACAGCTCAGACCTCAGGTGTATCCCCTGAGTCTCTAAGAAACACAGAATGGTTTGGTTTGGGAAGACCTTAAATATTATCTAGAGCCAACTCACCTGCCATGGGGAGGAAAGCTTCCACTAGACCAAGGTGCTCAAAGCCCCATTCAGCCTAGTCTTAAACACCTCTAGGGATACAGAGTCCACAAATTCTTCGGGCAACATGTTTCAGTGCCTCACCATCCCCACAGCTAAAAATTTCATCTTCCATAGTTATATTAGAAATCCAGATAATCTCGCTCACTGCCTCTCTCACCCAAGTCAGATTCAGTGAGAATTACTTCCTCCTCAGCCAGGGCTTGCAAAAGTCACTTACCTGCAGCTTCTGGTATGGATTTCTTCTGACAGATTCGGACGTATGATAAATGTTCCGGCTTGACCGCTGGCCAGGATCCTGGCATACAAAGCCTAAGGGCACCAAGAGCCACATGAGAACTTTAAGACAAACAAGCCCTGAAAGATGAATCTAGAATTTCTGTTCACAATCTCAGTCAATACATGACCTCCTTGTCCCTGCCCAAGGACCAATAAGGATCCTTTTCTTTTTTTATATACCTTGCTTTGTTTAATCCTAACTGCAATTGCATCACATTTTTTGAACAAAAACTTGCTTCAAGACCAAGTACTTAAATCAATAAATGGGTTACTGAAAGCAGCACAGAGATAGACTTGGTTTTTTAAACAGCTGAGCAGTGTATCTGATGACAACTCTACTTCTTTCACTAGTGCAGCAAATTGCATCAAGCAACTAAATCGAGATGCAAGGGACACTGTGCTCTAGACAATACTCCAATTCTACTAACCCAACGAAAACCCACAAATTCAACCTAAAAAATGCACAAATACTAACTCTGAAAGCTAAAGAGACGGCAGTGTCTCCAAATACCAAATTAGGGACTCTTAAAGCCACCTAAGCATCACAAACAGACAATTATTCTCAAGTTCAAATGTCCATATATCACTTCTCAGTGCTAAATACAGCTGCTCTCCTTAACTAGAGTTCACATCTATTATACTCATCTAGTAACATGCAGCTCATAAACCTACCTTTTACTGGTTTTAAAATGAGGGAAAGATTGAAGACTTTTTTTGTTTCACTCACCTACAAGAGTGAACATATCTGAGAGCATGCTAGCTTTGACCTTCAGGTCCAAAGGAGCATCGCTGTCCCCACATGTAACAGAGGATAATATGAATTATTTTTCTGGCATTAAATGAGAGGAATGTATCAGTATTCAGTATATCTCCCAATATAGTTTCTTTGCCTTCTTAAAACAGACAAAAACTAGAAGAAAAATAGGTGATTTTCACATACATAGGTAAAGATCAGAGAGCAATGGCTTAATCTGTTTATCATTTTTCCACAGCTTTTGGTGTCCTAATGCAGACACACACAGTTTTGTTTAAACTCTCCTTAAGGCTAGAAACACTTTATTTGGATGCATGTATGTTACATTTCATGAATTAAATAAAGGTTACTGTCATAGAATTCTTAAAAAACACACTTAACTATGCCTCTTCCACATAAAATCATAGCTGAGAGACATACCAAAATAAATTCTCAATTTCCATTCAAGCATGAGGGTCAGCATAAGGGCCAAGTCAACACTCACTCTTTAGAATTTATGTGATTAGAGTACCAAACTGAACCCAAGAACTCCTCTACATACTCAAGTAAAGTGTAACTGATTGAACTCTGCTTGGACTCCAAAATCTTAATGCTTCTGTCAGCCAAGAAGATTGAAATCCAACACAATAGTCTGACAGAGCTCCAGAATTTATCTATAATGAGAGATTATGAAGCATTAACAGTGACGACAGAAGAGAAATAATTAAAGAGTAAATAGAATCCCAACTGGGCTCTTTTAAAACCTATTGCTGCAGTAAGTTTGTTCATCCAAAGGAAAAAAAGCAAACAAGTATCCTCTCTGCCCATCAGCTGTGGAACAAAATCTGCAGGCATCATGAAATCATGCCCTCCTAGGACCACAAGTTTCAAGGACAACCATCTCTAGCAACAGTCCCTGCCTCATATTAAATTGGGAATCACTTACCAGGCCAATGATGGGGACAGGTTCACTTCCAACAGCCAGGGTTTCAGAGTGTCATCAATAAGGACATCAAAACCATACAGCTCTGAAAACACAGCAGACACTAAGTTCACCTTACTGCACTTTTAAGCATTCATGTAAGGTCCAACAGTAGTTTCTACCAAGTCATTTCTATCTCAACTATATATGTTAAATCCAGTAAACTCTCTAGGGATGAACAAATAATAACACTCCTCAAGTGGCAATTTTTACTTCCTCAGAATTAAACTTAAATATATTCTGCCTGTGGGGGAAAGAGTGGAAAGAAAAATATTAGGAAAGTATGATGTAGAAAACTTAAGAACACTTTACTGCCCACAAGCTGTAGTTCACACAGAACTCTTCTACTTCCTTTCACATAGAACTGACACTAGCAGGTTCAATCTACTTCTTCCACTGGACCCTGGAAACAACAAAACTTCATTCTCCTTTCCACTTTTTAATCCCTTTATTCATTGTTCCAGTCAGCTAGAGAAAAATCTTGCTCCTTTCAAGCATCAGCTTCTTTTCAATTACTCCTGTATGTTTTCTGCAATATCCCCATGGGGTTACAACAGATTTCTCCTCAGCAATTCCATCTACGTGGACAACCTCCCATAACTTTTTAGTTTATTGATACCTTGCCACTTTGCAGCAAACCACAATAGAAATATTTTTTTCCTTAGCTTTTAAAACAGTAATAACATATTACATCTGCTAGACACGTTCTGCTCTATACAGGTCAGATTGAAGCCAGTATCCCATTCCAAATCTGATTTTACTATTTTACTCTCTATACATGTTTTCTCTAGTTTGGAAAGAGCTTCAAGAAGGATGCTACACAAAGATGAGTGTAAATCAAAAGTTTCCATTAATGTAATTCCTTCTCCCAGCATTAAGAAATAGACTTCATAATCATCAGGCAACTTAAGCATTTTTTTTTTTAAACACAATAAAACAAGGAATTGGCAGAGAAGGATTTTCATGAAATTAACCAGTTCCCTAGTGCCATAAATAAAAGCAGGAGAGCTTCTTTGCCATGGTTCTTTCCTTGAATTGCAGCCCTGGCTTTTTGTCGCCTGCCTGATGTTGATGCTGGCTCTGGAGAGCTGAACTGCTTGACAAGATCTTCCCATGCAGACAGCTGTGCAAAAGCTCATGCAGCTTATAATGGGAAGTTAATGAGCTGGGGTCATGGGGGGGGGAGGCTTGGAAGGGGGGAAATGGCAGAAAAGTAAGCATTGCCTGCTCACTCTTCTAGAGTCTGTAGCCAGACATTGAATGGGAAACAAAACAGCAGAGAGTTAAAGAGCTGGGTCACTCCAAAGAAATGAGGCTGAATCTACATTTTTTTCTCTTGCTCCCCAGACAGGAATGGCTGCAGTAGAGAGAAAAGGAGAAGGTGGGGATTTTAAGTGTAAATATTAGCAAAGCATTTTGACCAGGAGAAACTCCTGATGACTTTAATACATTATTTCAAAATAGTCTCAGGTTTGGTGAAAAGCCATGACTATTAACAGCACAGAAAACTCGGCAGCTCATGCCCAAGGCAGAGAAGCAATGAGTGGGCCTGCAGCAGCTGCTGGTCTGCAGCCTCCCAGTCCCAGTCAGGAAGAAGTGCATTTTGTTTTGACTAGCTCCTGTTTTTTTTGCTGCTGGCCATTCCCTTCCTTGGCCCCTGGGAGGCCCTTTCCTAGTGTTTTGGCTCCTCTGACTTTGCCCTCCTCTCCCACACAATTCTCTTGCAAATTGCCGGCTCTTTAAAGCTCCATCTTTCCCACCCAGTTAGTCATTCTGTCCACTTTTTCAAATACACATGGGAAACCTTTCAACCTCAGCTAGCTCTAACCATTCTGCTGGAGCTTCACATTCCTTTCCCTTGTGTCTGCCTTATTTATTAGGCCAGTAAGTTCTTCAGGGTATCCCTATTGATTTAATTCCATTGTTAAACACAGATTCTAAAGCCACTTGCAATGACTTAGGAAGTCTCCACTGTTGTTCCATAATGCCCCTTGTTTCACATATTCTGAGACACATCAACAAGCCTTAAGACAGATGTCTCTGCTACCTCAGGGTATCAGAAGCTACATAATATCCATGGTCTAGCAATTAAACCAAGCCTCACAGATTCCAAACAGGGCTTAGCACAAAGATCTGCTCAACAGTCAGAAGTTTACCCAGAAATATCTTGCTGGCTCTCTTACACATTTGGAAAATGTATTTCCTAGATAAAACAGTAGTCACAGTACCCTTTCCACTGTGAAACTCCACTACCACTTGAGAAAATAAATACACAGGCAGGACAAAGATGTGGAGTCACATGAGCATAGGATAATCAAAAGTATATCCTCTGCAATTACCAATTTCAGCAAGGCTGCCATTTCCCTCAGCAGAGAGAGTAAAGAGAACAACCAAAAGAGCAAAACATGCCTCACACTGTGGCAATGGTAGGTTCACCACAAGCCACCTAAATGCCACTATTGTTACTGAGGGAAGAAACTAAGGTACCAGGTTCCCACAGTGCATTCTCTTGCTACTAGAATCCACAAAAGCATGTTTCACCCGTACAGTTTGCTAAGGTCTGGAATTATATCAGGAGTTGCCAACTGTTTCCAAGACTCAGCAGGAACAGTCTCTCAGCCTCTTCCCTCCTCTAATCCCCATAGAAAAGTCACTGCTGACTGAACTTCCCGCTCCCAAAAGAAGGCCTAGCTTTAGAGTGAAGTCTAACAGCAACAGTTCAGCCAGAGATTTTTTTGTCAATGACATTACCTAACACCAAGACAAAGGCTAGAGAGATAGTCTCAGGCTTTTTGGTTCTGGTAAACTCCCATGTATTCCACATTTATCTTGCAATCCTCTCCAAGACTGCACCGGCACTCTCTGTGACAAAATATCCCCAAATAATTTGATACTCTCTGCAAGTACAGAAACTAAGTCACAAGCAACAGGACAGTAGCATAAACATATTTTTCATGATTTTGCAGAGCATGAATAAGCTCAGTTCCTAAAGGGTTGCTGTAAATCTGGTCTTTCTCTGCAGTTTGTCCCCTGGAGGAAAAAAAAAGTTTTACTGCAAAGTACATACTCTACAATTAAAGGGAGACAACCTGAAGTCATGAAGGGACACAAACAGTGGGGGAAAAAAATTGCACAGCATGTAACTCTTTTTTGATATTGCAATGAAAACCCATCTCCTTGTTTCATGTAGGAGCCTATTTACAGACGTACTGCAAGAAGTTTTGCACTGAAATTCAAGTCTTCCATTTTTCCTTCCTATTCTTTCTGTTCTTTTATTAATGTTTAATTCCCTTTTTAAGAGACCTTTATTTTAACAGAGAAAGGTTTTCTCTATGTTATTACAGAAAAGGACCCAACAAGAGGAGACAAGTAGCTTCAAGGCTAACATCAAAGAACAGGAGTCTTGGTGCAAGTTGGGCTGCCTTTATAATCCTAATCTTACTGAGTAAATAATTTATCACTCACAAGGTAGAAACTTGATCAATCCAGTGGGTGATACCAGAGTGAGCAAAGAGGTTAATATCCCAGTAACCACTTTAGGACATCACTTAACTTCCCTTCCAACACGGAGGAACATAAGAGTAGATATGTTTCTACTTGGTCCTCAACAAACTCAAGTGCCCAAATTAGCAAAATATAATACTAGGTAGACCAAAATAAAAGCCATCTGACTCTACAGATGGAAGTGAAGGATAAAGAGAGTATGTTTCCCAACCTCATTAGCCCAAGTTCTTACACTCCAAGAACCTTAGCCTCAAGAAAGCCATGAGACAAGAATAACCTGGTATTCCTCACGTTCACGTCATCTATCTGGTAAAGACCCAAATGCCACCACAGGAGCCAGTGGCAGTAGAAGACAGAATGAGAAGCCAGGATTGATTCTGATTTTGGTAACACAAGTCCATTGATGAGAAATTGACAGTGCTGGTCATTTCCTAAGTCTCCCAAAACCAGCCATAAAAGCTTTTTAGGTCTGCTCCAGCCTTCTGAGGAAAAAACTGGCGCTACCAAGCTAAGAACAACTTCCTAAAGAAACAAAGTTTCTGCAGCAACAGGAATTTTGAATCTTTCAACCAAGCTCTGGGTACTAAATCACCAATATCAGATGGGTACCTTTTAGAGCTATGAAGGGACAAGTAAGAAAAACAGTGCAGGGATAGGCCCCCTGTTCCTATAGAAGCTAAGACTAGAAGACCTATCCCTTGAACTCATTTTACCCTTCACACTCAACTGACAGTTTAGTCAAATCTGAAGATATATTTACATTTCAAAATCTACCTTGCCCATCATATCATCAAAACACCTGTCTTGAAAGGTACAGGTCTCCTGAATCTGCTTGTAGCCAGAGGAGTCTAGGGACAACTCCAATGGCATCTTTACACACTGGCTTCAAAGCAAAGACTGATGTTAAAGCAATAAAAATAGAATGGATTAAGCTTTGTAAGAAAAAGGTAATGGCAGGAAATCCCTGTTAGCTTTTCTGTAGCATGTGACATAAGAAACTAGAAAAACATAGGAAATGTGTATGGTATATGTACTGTTGACTTAAGCCACTAAGCATGGACTCGCCTCACATCAAGTATGTATAGAAATTCCTTAAGAATCTCAAGTTTTTAGTGCCCTAGAAAACTCAGAATGGAGCAGGCCAGCACTGTTCAAAACTACAAAAGGCTTCTCCTAAATACTACTAAGAAAGTTTAATGTTCATGAAGAACAGCCACACAGGCAGTTGAGAAACTGGTGATTCAGCACAAATGACCTTTTAAAGCATCTAGCTCCAGATCAGCACCACTCAAGTCATACAATATTTTATTGTTAGCTTTTTTTCTCAGTATAGATGTGATTAGAAGCAAAAGCCTGACCAGTTCAGCCTTAAGACACAGAAGCAGTTAAATAATAAACTCATTGCTTTGGTGGGATCAATATGCCCATTACCCTATCCTGGCCAGCCTGCCTTCTTGATTGCAGACAAGCTCGAGTGTCACAGCTGGGTTTACTAGAATGTAAATTAAACAAGAGGTCTTCAATCTGTTGCTTCTTTAGGGTCACATTTCAGTGAGTGCATAAAATGGTGCTACATTGGCTGCTGGCAAAAATATGTGCTGTACCCAGCCACCTTCATTTCCTACCCTACTAAACCACTCCACAGGGAAATTTTTCATTCTGCCTGAAAGCAGGCCTTACTGCTCTTTTTAGACTGCCCAGAAGTGCTTACTTCAAGAGGGAGAAAAATGCAGTCTGTAATCAGCTTGGGCATATGCAGCCCTATTGTGCCTCCTGTTCCCACACTGAGATGTCACATCCCTCAAATAAGTGCAAACCCTATCTATCTTTCTCTTAAAGAAGGCTCTAGAGGTAACCATCAACTCAGCTGGTGACCAGCTTCAGGACAGTGCACTAATCTGGAGAGTTGCAGCGTGCCCTCTCCTCTGGAATTACTGGTTAAAACAATTTCTACTAGGAGCTTCATTTTACATATGGAATTATTAGCTAATTTCAAAGAACAAAATAGATGACTGGGATCCCTTTGTTAGTAACAGCGCATGAACAAGGCAACAAAATCATGTAGTACTTGCACTGCTTCTGTGATGCACTTCAGAGAAAAAAACTGAGCATCCCAAGTCCTTTGAAAACTGATTATTACTAGAATGCAGTAAATAGCTCACATGTGGCCAAAATGAAACTCACTCTTTACACAAACTGTCACCAGCACTCTGTTTTGACAGTAGAAAAAGGATCATCCTGACCTAGCACTCTTTCTAGGCATGCAGCAGTAGCAGGAATCAGCCTGTCTCACCAGTCTCAGAAAATAAATAAACCACAAATGAATTCTCTTCCTTTAAATCCAGGAAATAAGTATATTACATATAAAAACACTTGTGAAAGAACTGAAGGACCACTGTAGTACTAAACTATTAGAGAAATAAAAACCTCATCTGCACAAATAAGTACTAGTGATATAATTTTTTAGGAAGAAAATGGCAGTTGTACAGGACTCTATTCCCTATAACAGCATTACAAGCACTAAAGTAGAATACAACTTAATTATATTTTTTACAAGTCTTGCAAACAAGACCCATCTCGGTATCTGAACTTCAGATAAAGGTTTCTGAAGTCTGAGATACTTTTCACATGATCAGCCCTCCTCAGGACACACACTCAGTTTCATTGCTCACAGCTCAGAATGAAAAAAAAAACTCATCTGAGACTCAAGATGCTGCCTTGAAATCTTTATTCCCAGTTTTCTCCTTCCTGCTAACAACTATGAACTAAACCATTATGAACACTTCCAGCTAGAAAAACTGAACATTTACAAGGTTAAAAGTTGTACAACCAAAAAGTGTCAGTACAAGACACACACAAGACAAATGAACCATACAGCATAATAGAAGTTCAGATCCTTGAGACAAGGACCACTACTTAATTGTGGGGGAAGGTGGCAGAGAGTACTGAGCTCTGGAAATGCCTAAGTCTCCCTAGGGAAGCAGTATGGCTCCTACTTAAGCTCTCTTTCCTGGGAAGCTCTTAATTTATGTTTACACTGAAATAAACGGAACAAAACAGTTTATTTGTGGGGGAGCATTTGAGAGGGTGGTTAGTGCAGCCCTGGGGAGGCAGCAGGAAGTGGGAAAACCTCAGAGCCAGGCCCAGCAGAAAGTACATGAAGAACATTAGTTTCCATATACACAGCTCTAGAGACTCAGCTGAGGAAGGAAAAGAGAGAAGCCAAAAAAAGAGGCAGCTAAAGTGGCTTTGATGTGTCTTTTTTTCAACTAGCCAAAAAAGTGCCATTTCACTGAGACTATTATCTAACTCATAAATCCCCATGTATGACCAGGTCCTTCAATCTTGAACAAAGGCGTCAGAATAAGTCAGGAGAAACTCATGGGAGAGGTAGCTAGTTTTGGGAGGTAACTAAAAAACCTATCAGTCATGGCTCCTTAATTCGTGACTGTCTTATCATCCTCAAATATCCAAGGATACATTTATTCTGGGGCATTGAAAGCTGCAGAATTGTCAATATCTAAGTGCAACTCAAGGACCACATAAAGGGATTTGACCTGTCGCAGCTAGTTTAAACGTAAGTTCCAATAGCTAAACACAGGCTGGCCTAAGCCAAGCTCGGCCTTTGGTTTACTCACTGACAGACTTCATCTTCGTGCATGTATCCACAAGAGTGGAGGCCGGCTAGGAGCAGGAGGAGGCCTCTTTAGGGAAGGCTGGGAAGCAGCCGCTGGAAGCGGGAGAAGGCAGAGCGCGGTACCAGCCGCCGCTTTCTGGAGCCGCCCCAGCGAGCGCCGCAGCGCCTGCCAGCAGCGCCCCCGCGCGGCCGCTCGCAGCAGCGCCCATCACCCGCCGCGCACGGCTGCTCCGCGCCCTCGCACGCACGGAGGAAAACGCAGAACTACACTGCTAGGTGCCTCAAGAGAAAATAGCAAATGCTCTAAAAACGTGCTTAATCACCCACAGCCATTCTTTGCAAGGGCACTAGTAAATCACCAACTTTACAGCACTTCCTTAAGTTCCCTTTCAAGTCCTTTTTCACCATCCTGTTTTCATTTTCTTGCACAAGACTCCGATCAATAGCGGTGATGCAGGGTGAACTGAGATTCGATGCCCCCTGCCCTCACCAAGCCTTATGCTAAAGAAAAAAAACCAAACCAAACAACATCCAGCTTTCTTGCACTAGGGAATGCACATTTCTCTCTAGCATGACAAAGCTGGAGGTTCCGAACAGTACTCAACAGGCAATCAACAAAGATGTCCCCAGTGTCTTACCAAAGCAGCTGCCACGATGTGAAAGAAAACTTTTACAAGCTGATGCAATGGACAGCTCAGCAGAAACTAGAGTCTTGATAATCAGGTCCTCCACATTGGCCATCAGTGCTGCAAGGAGGGGAAGGGGGAGGAGGAAAAAGGAAAAAAAAGTGAATTGTGAAGTAACGCACAATATCCAGGAAGGCATGAGAATATACAAATAGAGATACACCTTTGTGAATCAAAGCACATGAGACCCTATGGATGACAAAGCAATGATGCTTGGAAACCCATGCAAGCCTAAGTAAACAGACATGCATAAGTATCCTAGTGCAAAAATACTCACAAATGGGAATGTGAGAATGGTAAACGTCAGTATATGTCCAGCGCAGGTAAACAAACATATGGCAAATACACCAGCACAAGTCAGCTGGAGTCTGACCACTGCCCACTCAGTATTAGGACAGATTAAATAAGAGTTAGACAAGAGTGGGTTAGTGAGATAAGCCTTCAAACTACATAGAATAAGCCATAGCACCAACACGTAACAATTTTTCTTGTGAACTTTTATGAGATAACTGCTCTGTGACACTGCACCTTCCTCTAAAGCAGCTGTTCCCATACCAAAGTTCATAAATATTTTCAAGATTTTATGACTGGTGACAGCTCCCAGTCCTGCTGACCTATAGATAATCCATAGTAAAAATGCACTCTCCAGCTCCTTCATGAGCCTGTGAACAGAGCTCAGGAACAGGAGTCTAAGCAGACAGAGGAAGCAAAAGGCAAAAAAATATGTACATTAGATGTAGACCTGGATTCTACACTGGACTTGGGATGAGTCATGCAATAGAAAGAACACCACACCGGTTTTGTTTTCAAGGACAAGCAATAGAAAAGTGAGAGAAGGGAGAAATGAATGAATACTGGAGTCATAATCTCAGAAGTTAATAAAGATGAAAGGACAGCTTTCCCCACCCCTCAAAGAGAGCACAAGCAAATCCACAGAGACATCTGGCAAACTCTGCTTCAAAGAGTATCTTCTAGAAACCACTTGACTACAGAGTTTACTTTAGGTCTACAATTACTATTTCTCATGCTCAGATGATGACATGCAGGGACCTGAACAATTACAGAAAGAGCATGCAAGCAAATTCAGATGTGAACTTCTGTACCAGAAAACTAAGCGGAACCAACACAGAATGGAAACATCCCAGCACACATAAACAACCCAGAGCACAAAAACCCTGCCAGCCCAGACAAGGCCAGCACTTTTCAGCCAGCATTCTGCCTCCCTATGGCCAGAACCAGATGCATCAGAGAAAGGTGCAAGTCTTGTAATGGATAGTTAAAGAAATCTGCTTGCATTGCTGAGGAGTTTGCTTAATTATTAAGAGTGCATATTTTACACTTGAGGTTGGGGTGAGGTGTGGAGATGTATTAATTACTATGCATTCACAGCTGGCTGAACACATATGGTGCAAGGGATTGGACAGCCATGCACGCACATGATGGAAAAAAGTCTACTTCCATCTCAAGTCAGATTCAAACCCCTTTCTCCAACATTCAAGGTTTCCTTGGCAGCATTTGCAATATGGGCCATAGTGCTATCAGCAATTTTACTAATGCCTCAGTATCACAGGTAAATTATCCCTTAAAGGATATACCCGGATTCTGCTCAGCAGATGCAGTTACTCCCAGCAGACCTGGCAAAGGTGTGAAAGAGGGAACTATTTTATATGAAACACATACTAAATGAAAACACCCAGCAAAAACCTGAGCCATGGAAAGATGACACCACATCCAAGAGTCATTCAAACTGGCACAGTTGTCCAGAGGTTGGTCATTCATCAGACTGAACACGCCATGGGAGCAGTAGAGGGAGGGAAGCTTTTAGAAGGAATTGAATGACCTTAAGAAACGGGAAATGTAGGTAATATTAAGAAACACACCCTGAGAAAGTCTCAGAATACTAGTTGCAAAAAGGAAGGGGTTAGGCTTTCTCTCCAGGGATAGGGAATAAATGCACAGCTCTCATGAGCAAGGAACAACGCTTCCCTCCACCCTGCTCTGGTGCTAAATGGGACTCACTGGGGCTCTTACTTGACTTCTTAGAATTCACACTAGTGAGATGATCAAGATCCAACAAAGAAATAACAGAACAGGATTTTTACTGACCTGCAGTGTCTCTCCCCTCTTGTTTTAAGTACCTCAGCACTGCACTCATGCTCCACTTGTTTCCATAATCCTCTACTTCGGGATCATCACAGCTAAAAATAAAGGAAAGAAGGAGATTGACACCACCGGCCTACCTCTGTGGATCAGCATTAGACCAAGTCAGGTAAACTGACCCAACCTCTAAAGAACAGGTTGCATTTTCCAGCCAAGTACCTGACATAATCCCCACTCTTCTTGTTGACACTGTAGTTGGTCAGATGCATGAACTGGTTTTTAATGTTCTTGGATGCCTGGTCATACCTCACTGTTGCAAATCTGTAAAGAGGAATAAAAATTCACAGTATTTTTTGAACAAGTGGCATTCTTGCTAGATACAGCAAGAATGTCACTACAAATCACAGACTACCATACACACCACTCAACAGCAACATTCAGGGAGAGAATTCATGTAACGAAACTTCATCTAACACAATTTACACTTTATCCTCAAGGGATACATCAAGCAAAAAATAATATCATAGAATGTGACTATAATGCAATAGAATAGTTGCATTATAGGACCTACAATAGCAATCGAGCCTAACTGCAATCATTTACTTACACTATATGTAATCTTGATTCAATACATACTTCAGGCCCCGGACTTTGGAGAAAAATCAATTTTAAAAAATTGAGGGCATAACCCAGAGTATCTGGTAGGTAGAATGACCAGTATGAGCCACTGATAATCACCATAGCACATAAAAGCAAGCATGTTCCAGTTCAAAAAACCCCAAGCAACAACAAGAAACCAACAAAAAAAAACCAAAACACCTTCACTCTGAAAACCCTCCTCTTCCACAGGAGTTTAAGATGCCAATGTCTCAAAAGAGATAAGGGGAGTAAGAAAGGATAAGGGGAGAGTCAAACATGCTATCCAAAGAAGCCCCACCAAGAGAAAAAGTATGTACCAAACACAGCAGGGTAAGCTGCATAAAAAGGGGAGTAGATATAGAGGTAGCCTCAATACAGGAAAAAGGAGACATGCTTCTGGAAAAATGGAAGAGTGAGAGAAAGTTGGATCATCTGGTTATGCAATTAAATAATGTTAAGAACATTAAAAAACTCCAATTTTTTTCATTATTAGTCATCTTTCTTCATCCTTCCCCAATTATTTCCCATAGCTCAGAAAAGGCTGAACTATACAAAGACAGCTAACAAGTTACAAAAAAACAAAAAACCCACAATCCTTACTTTAGAAAGAACTGCCAAAAAATAAATAGCTTATTTCCCAGTTAAAACGATGCTACTACTGCCCTCACTTGGTAGCCATTTTGAGAAATACCTGTTGTCATAAGAACTATACCAGCAAATCCATGAAAATGCTTAAACTTATCCTTAAATACACATGTGGAAGCAGGGGGGAAAACAGACCCCCCGTGATATAATTAATTTTAAGTGGCAAGGTTGAAAGAGTGAAAAATATTTTTGCACTATATTTTTCTCAGCTTTAACTATGTACGAAGTCAGAGCAGCTGGCAACAAAAGCATTTGGAAGTTTGGATCCCCTTTCCACATATTTCCACAGTTTAAAGTATTTGAATTTCTTTTCAGTTTAACTGTAAGTTTCCTGGATTTAGCACTTCTGTTTTGAAAACAGTGACAAAAGCCCTGTCATATATTTGGTTCTTATTTATGGTTTCATCATCTCCATCTTGTTGAAATATACTTTCAGCCAGATCCTGGAAGATACTGAGCACAATCAGAGAGCCATTTCAAATCTCCCTTTGTACTTCCAAGCAGAGGGCAATTAAGCTCACTATGCTTTTCAGCTTATGCTTTTAATTTTTCATCCTCAAATAAATCATAAGGACCCCAGCAGACACAGACAATACTTCCATGGGGTCTATCTATTCAGATGGTATTTCACTGTGTTCCAGAGTTCCCAGTACCTAAGTGTTCTCTTTTGCTAGGATGCTATCATCTTGAAGGACATCACAGGCAACTTCAGTAATGCACCAAAAACCTCAAAAATTTCTAGTAATATACACTACCTAAAAAGCCCAAGCTTTAAACAACATAATCCAATGCTTAATACATTCACCCAGAGCTTGTTTGACCAGCCTCAAGTTAAGTGCAAGCCTGCAAATGGAAAATCCAAGCTATTTCTAGAGCTTCTATCAATAGCTTCTGGATGGCATAGTAATAGACCAGAAGCACAGGACAAGCAAATAGCCCACATGCTTTACACTTTTGTGGTTTTTACTCACTTGAGATGGAAGAGTGTTACTACCTCTGAAATACCAGTTACAATTACCTTCAGTACTCCACAGTTCTACAGCTTTTCAGCGTATACCTTACTGTATCTTTCTGCCCCTGTAGTAACTATGCTGCTCATCCACCACACATGCTCTCTTCATGAAGGATGAGAGACTCCCAGGCTACAGAATGTCTTGCTCCAGCAGAAATTTACCATTATTTTAGAGAAACCAAGGTCATAGGAAAAGTCCTCACAGTAATAGTGTAAAACAGAAAAACAGTAAAATTTTCAAAGTGTAAACCTGAAATTAGAATAAACTCCTGAGGAATCTTATAATCTTTTAGAAGATGACTTCATTTAAGGGCAACGTTCTTTTCCAATTTCATTCTGGGCCACTACTAAGAATAGAATATATGTTACTTAAAAGATAAGGGCCAAGAGCCTAAAAGCAATTCAAAAAATATATGCTAAGCAGGGACAGAAAATAAAGGGCAAGCCTTGTGTTTTCCTAGTAACAGAACTTACCACAAACATATGCTGCAATATTCTGCATGAACTGTTTTTCTAAACACTAAAGGCTTCATGCCCAGGTGTCTCATATTGCTATAATCCAGCCAAAGAGTGATGAAGGCACAAGTACATGAGTCCAGATCACCATCTGCCAGGACAGGACTGTTTCTGAGCCAAAGCATTACTCGTGGATGCTGCTATGTGGGAGCCTGCAATCAGACAGGAATCCAAGAGTACTTCTAAACCAGAGGCTGGACTGTCCACACGTGGAGGCCCACCTTCAGCCAAAAAAGACTATTTTATCAAGGGAAACTCATCTAAACACTATCTTCTGCCATGTCTTCTTATTCTGCTTCAAGCAACTGTCATTTTCCCCCACTGTGATCTGCTCCTGTCCAAGTTCTGGACTACTCTATAGGCCTTACAATGCAGAGATCCAACACACTTAACAAGCACTGCTGATAAAGTGTGTGTGGGCTGAGTGGTTCAACAACTGGATTCACACTGCTTTTAATTCTTACATAGAATTTTACTGTAGGACTTTTCAAGTGGAAAAAAAACTAGGAAAAGGTAAAATTTTCCTCTACTAGTCAGACAGGAAGGTTTTGTGCCACTTCAGTACATTCTTCTGTCCCCACTTCATCTAAACCAGCAGTTCTTCTTATTAACAATGTGAAATATTATGCAGGTAGCCAAGAAAGGAACGAGTGTCTGCTCTGTATCTACCATCAGAAGAATATCAACTGTTTTGGCCTGAATACAGATTTGCTTTCTCTATAACACAAGTTCTAACCACCTGACTGAACTTCTTTTACCTGTCAATGTACTTGGAGAGGGTGCAGGAGAAGATGCAAGAGGAATGGTCCTCTCTGACAGCATTAACCTGGGTCATCTCTGAGATATGTATTACATGGAGATAACACAGTTCACAGCAGCAAGAATATAGGAAGCACCTTCCCATGTCCTGATGCTATGTATTGCTTGTATTCACCGTTGAAAATGAACTGCAAGTGATACTAAAGATACTCACTTTCATTAACTTGTATACCTGGCCTTACTGCAGTCCCATCCTCCCAAAGATCCTCCCCTTCTAATGAATCTTGCCATTTTAATATCTGAAGAAAGGGCTAAGTTAAGAAAATTAAGGACATACTCTAACATGGTTTAAAAGAGATTTGATTCCAAAAGCCTCTAAGCAGAAGTATTATAGGAGAGTTTTTACCCCAAAACTACAGCTGAAAAGCAGAAAGGTTAAACTAAGGTTGACTGTGCATTGTTCAGTTTCCACACAAACTGCTGCCTGTAACAGCCTCCCAGGCAGAAGTAGCTGCAATCATATTGGGAACAGCTCTGGCAGCCTCCTTCCCTTTCACTGCAGCTTCTCTTTCTCCAGCACGACAGAGGAGATGGCCTTAATTTCTGAATTCAAAGCGTAGAAAAGAGAAGCGATATTCATACATCTGCTCATGTCTCAGCTGGTCACAGCCAAGTCACACAGGCATATTGCAGCCTGGATGAAGGCAACAACCCAGCCTCTATTCCAGCAACTACACACTGCTACACAGCTCACCTTCCCCAACAGCACATTTCCCTTCCCTCTGGCTGTACTTCATCTTGGATCAAAGAGGAGGAAAGAACAATCAAAAGCAAGCAGATGGGTGGTGTAGCAGCAGCAGGTAGCCTGGGCAGCACAAAAAGAAAATTAAGGGAAAAATCCTCACTAATTCCTTCAGACACCAGAAATACTCTCGACCTCCAGACTAATAGTATAACATCTGAGACATCCCAGTTCTCTGCCTCCCTGTCATGCCTCAGGTTCACCTTTGGTATTCAGACACTCACAGATTCCAGTCTTCCTTCCTTTTCTTGTAAGGGTTCATTAAAAGCCTAATAACCACACTTAAGCTCTACCTGCAATAGGTCACCTTTCTCTACAAGTGCCACACAAGCTTTCTCCCTGCTCACCTAGCAGTTTACAAAACATGTCAGAACTCACACTGAAAAGTCCCCAAATCCACCATACCAAACTTTGGCCCCTAACCCACATCCCTACATTGCCTTAACCTAAACAACTACCCTTTTACTGTCATAATTTTCAGCAGGACATTACCCAAGGGATTGTACAACACTCTTCGCCTTATCTCCAGTATTACTTCAGGAAATGTATTAACCACAAGGTAAAGTTTGCAAGGCATTTCAGAAACATGTAAACGAGATCATTAAATATTTACAGAAGATGCTACATGTTTTTGCATGAAACTTGACAGCTCTGGAATGCTTATCTGAGCCATCTAGTCAGAGCCTGGGAAAAGAAGAGAATGGAAAAGAAGAGAAGGGAAAAGACTTGAGTGGGAAGAAGGAAAGAATAGTTATCCCTCTTCTCTCAAATGACTTTTACAAAAAAGCACACATTATGATAGACTTTTCCATGACTGCACACAGAATTCCTGCATAAATGTCCTGGAAATAATCAGTATAGTGCTTTTACAAGCATGCTCCTCACGTTTTATGCTTGGAGTCACTTTCCCAGTCCCTCATTCCTCCCCATGCATTAGACTTTAGCATC